GAATTCGGTAGGCTTCATCTCGAACCGGCTCCTGATGCCGTTCATCAACGAGGCGATCCTGGCCCTCGAAGCGGGCGTCGGATCCAAGGAGGACATCGACACGACCCTCAAACTCGGCATGAACCACCCGATGGGCCCGCTCACGCTCGCCGACTTTATCGGACTCGACACGTGCTTGAGCATCATGGAGGTGCTCCAGCGCGAGACGGGAGACTGCAAATACCGGCCGGCCGTGCTGCTCGGAGTACGTTGTTCCCTTGCTTCCTTCGCTGGGCCGAAATCTGGAGTCGCGAGAGGGCATCCCGGACACCCGCAAACGGGTCCTTCCTGGTCCGGGTGAACCTGGAGTTTCGGTAGCCCCCGTTTGCTCTCGCGCTGACCAAGCTCCTCGCTCTTCTTTTCCCCCGCCGCAGCGTATGGTCTCGGCCGGCTACCTCGGCAAGAAGTCGGGCCGCGGGTTCTACAGCTACGACGCGACGCCGGCGCCGCCTCCTCCTCGCAAACCGGGAGTTGAAGACCCGACCGACTCGCCCGCTCCGTACGGGAACGCGGAGGGTGATGTGGACGTCGGGTTGCGGAGGATGGGGGACAAGGAGTAAAGAGAGCCCGGGTACAGAGACTTGTAGAGCTGGGAATCAATTCAGCGAAATCAATACCCCATCCCCTTTTCCGTATACATGGAACGAGCCTAAGCGATCTACGTCGGTACCCTGAGCGATCAACGACGTAGAATTGCAGAAGGGGGAAGGGATTGCGATGCGATGCGATTCTGGTAGTTGCTAGTGCTACACGTATGTCGGCCCGCAAGCTAGGGAGGGCTCCGAGAAATGCCGTCCGTCATGTGCTGGTTAAGGTTCGGCCCGACCGTCCTTGTGCCACCTGACCATCTCGACGTACTCGGACGTGCCGACCTCGACGAATCCGAGCTTCTTGTACAGGCCCTTGCCCGTCGGCGTCGCTTCGAGGTAGACGGGCGTGGGCGGAGTTTGCTGGTCGCATCGGTTCAGGATGTCTTCGAGGAGGAGGCGACCGAACCCGAAACCTTGGTACTCGTCCTTGACCCAGATCGGGCACAGGTCTGTCGGACACGTGGGTATGTGGTCAGTCTTGCGGGCATCCGGGGGAAATAGGAAAAAGAGGCAAGAGGGATTCTCCCTGGCGGGGCAAAAAGGTAAGAAAGACGGGAAAGGGACATACACCAGTGATCCTTTCCGGCCATCAACCTGTCGCGCATGTCGTCCCACTCTGTCCAAATCTTTTCGTACGCGTCCATGTCGACGTGGTCCCAACTGTGCGCGTCGCCGTGGTACTCGTCTCCGAGGACCGCCCTCCGTTTCGGGTTCACCACCGGCGCGCCCGGTTTGTGCCACACGGCGATGCCGACCAAGCTGCCTACGGGTTGACCCGCAAACGGTTCGGCCAGGACTGCTTTGGTGCAGACCGTATCGGGCGAGTCGAGGACGCGCTCGAAGCGGCGGGCGTGGCGTTGGACGCGGACGGCGTGCGGAGGGCGCCGGTCGGCGGGTTCGAGGCCGTGGTAGAAGCTCGGGAACATGGCAATGTTGCCCTCGGCCTAGGTGCGGGCGCGCGGGAAATGTCAGCAGTCTTCCTTCCTCGGAGGAGCCGACTTTTCTTTCTTGGCAAGGGAGAGAGGCGTACGACTTGAACGAGGTCATCCTTTGTGATGGGGACGAGGTTGACCGCCGGCTTGTGACCGTTGATTTGCTTCGGAGTGGCCATGTCTTGGTCCGAGAGTGTTGACGTCCGGTGTGCAACAGTTGTGGCGAGAGAAAAAGGGCGAAGACGAGAGCCGGGGCGCGAGCGATGGATGGGATCCGGAGCGAGTCGGTTCCAAGTTGTATATGCTGTAGCCTACGCTGTGAATGCTCGTGTGTCGTCTTCCTGCTGACTGCCCTCGTCTGAGTGTATGGACGGAGGGCAGAGGCTTCGGCTCGTCTCCGGGTGACAGAGGTTTGGCGGGTTGACCCGTGACACGACGCAGCCATGGCGAACCGCGTCTGTGAGTCAGCCGTACGGTCGAGTATAGCCGCGAGCTAACCCCGTATGCCCGCCCCGCAGTGTCGTCCGCGTCGGCGCTGCCCCGCCAGCTCGCCCAATCCGCCGCATCCCACCAGACCGTCAGTCTCGCTCTCGCAGAGTGTAGGGGGGAGGGGCCAAAGCTGACTCTTCACTCGCAAACTCGCAGCGATCCATCTCGAACCAGATCGTCGCAGCACCGAACCAGCCAGGTCGCGTCTTCATCGGCAGCGGCCCCGGAGGAAGGCGAGTCGAGTCTCGTCCACGCAACCCGCGCACCCGTCTGCAGGGAGAGAGAGCTGACGTCTGGCGACTGCAGGCACTCGTCGACCGGTCATGTCGCCACCGTGTTCGGAGCCACCTCGTTCCTCGGTCGCTACCTCGTCTCGAAGCTGGGTCAGTCTCACTCCCCGCGCGTAGAGACCCCCCAACGAAAGAGCTGACGTGTAAAGTCACACACGCGCGCGCAGCCAAGGCGGGTACGCAGGTCGTCGTGCCGTACCGGGACCAGGACGAGGCGCGGCACCTCCGCGTCTGCGGCGACCTCGGCCAGGTCGTCCCGATGGAGTGGGACCTCAACAACGACGTCCAGATCGAAGAGTGCCTCCGCCACTCGGACACGGTCTACAACCTCGTCGGTCGCGACTATGTCACCAAGAACTTTGACTTTTCCGACGTCCACGTCGCCGGCGCGCGCCGGATCGCCCGCATCGCCTCGCAGGCCGGCGTCTCGCGCCTGATCCACGTCTCGCACCTCAACGCCGACCACGACTCCAAGTCGGCGTTCTACCGCTCCAAGGCCCAGGGCGAGGACGCCGTCAAGGAGGCGTTCGCCGACGCGACCATTGTCAAACCGGGTTGGATGTACGGCCACGAGGACCGCCTGCTCAACACGCTCGCCGTCTCGCCCTCCGTCTTCCGCGTCAACCACGGTCAGACCAAGATCGCGCCCGTGCACGTCCTCGACGTCGCGACCGCGCTCAACACGATGTACACCGCCGGTTCCACCCTCGGCGAGACGTACAGCCTCCCCGGCCCGCGCACCTACACCTTTGAGCAACTCTTGCACATGACCGAGGCCTTGACCCTGAAAAAATTGCGCGGCCCGAATTTCCCGAAACCGGTCCTTGCGGCGCTCGCGCGCGTGTGGGACTATGCCTGGTGGCCCACCCTCTCGCCGGACGAGGTCACCCGTCGCTACATCGACGACCTCCCCGTCGCGCCCGGCACCAAGGGCTTCGCCGACCTCGGCATCGACCCCGACGTCCTCGAGGACATTGCCATCGTCTACCTCCGGAGGTACCGCGGCTCGGCGTACCAGGACCTGCCCATCCAGCAGGGCGGAATCCGGCTCCGTCGGTCACTGCACCAGACCATGGAGTAAGGGGTTGTTTCAAACCCCGCAGTAGAGAGCCTGTCGTCGTCGTCGCCGGCGGCGGACCTTGGAATTGAATTTGTACACGCGCGTTCTGTTTTGGCCTCGTGTTTTTCCCTCGCGCTTTCTGCTCTTCGGACCATTCCGCGGCGCTGAAGAAACAGCTGAACTTGTGCATTCGTACAGTACACGGAACGAGATGGAAATCAAGCGGCACAAAAGGCGAGAGGGGCGTCGGCGGCGAGAATCCGGGCCCCTGCTCGAACTCGTTCTCGGCGTCGACTTACCAAGTCAATCGTCAGCGCTGGCGACCAACGCCGATCAGAGTGGGGGTATATTCTGCTCGTATCAACGTTTGTGGAGTTGGGTCTATCAGCCCGCGGTCACTGTGCGGCGAAGAGAAAGTCACGGAGTGGCAAGCTGGGCAGCGGACTCGTCGGGGTGTCCCGTTCAAGCTCCCCTCTGTCTACCTTGCATGTCGGCGGCTTGATCTTGTCTAGATTTATGGAACTATGTACGGTAAAGACGGCGGAAGTCCGGGATTATGCCGGTGTGAGCAGAATGAACTGCGGCTGTCAATAGCTTCCGAAGCCTTAGACGAGCTCACCTTGAACAGTCCAAGCGTCCGACCTCGCAGATCTGCATAAGCTTGATCACAGCTCGCTATGTCCATGAGGGGCGAGAAAGCCCGGGCGCTTTGACGGCTATTCGCAAGCTCGATGCGCCCAATCCGATTTGACTTGAAGGGGCCTTGAAGGCCGCGAGCCGGGTCCGAAGGCTGTTTGGCGTAATTCAACTCAACCTAAGAGAGGGCTCTCGATCAACTGTCAGTCTGACATGCACCCTGGCGGAGAGTACAGTACATCTCTGGTTGAGATGCACTTTCCTTCGGAACGGTCCTTGTCTCGTTTGACTTCTACCTCCGTTCCCCTCCGCCCCTTTTCACACCTTGCTTTAACTCTGCGAGGAGCGTCGACTGCTCAAGCGCGATCCTGCGAACTGGATTTCCCACAAGTGCACCGTCTTCAAGGTCCCGTCGCCGAGCGGCTGAGGATGTCTGAAATCCTCGGAGTAGGCATGGCTGGCAATTTTGCTGGAGGACGGGTCCTGAGCACGGGCGAGAACACGCGGTTCGATGTTGCGCAACGAGTCCAGCTGCGAGCCTATTTAGGGAGGAGGCGCATCTGAGCGGCGGTGGATCGACTGCGTTCGTCTCAAGAGCAACTGTGCACGGGTCCGCTGGGTGGCGGCGAGTGTTAAGCGTCAGGAAACCCTCTTGTCCACATAGCTCGCTCCGCAATGACTCTTGAGAGCAAGTCGTCTGCAAGCGTTCACCCCTTCGAGAGGTGTTCGTTCACCTCCGCGAGACGGCGTGGAGATGGCCTTCTCAGCGGGTCGACAAGAGTTGGGAGGCTGACATCGTCTATACCACAGGGTTGCGGCCGGTCTTTGAGCAGATATGCCATGCACTCGAGTGTAACAACCGGTTGGGCCCAAAAAAGAGGGTCCCCGGAAACCTTTTTTGAGCGAACCAAAAAGTCACTCTCCTCCTCCTCAACAAAAGATTTGGGTCGTTGGATGGACCCATTCCCTTCTTCCGGGATCGAACCAGAGACCTTGGGATGCCAGAGAACCTATTACAGTCCCACGCTCTTCCAACTGAGCTAAGAAGGGGTTGCTTGATGATGTTCCAAGCAGAGTTGCGTACACAAACGGGTTTTTTGACAAATCGCCGTCTCCCGCCGCGAATACTCGTCCGACGGCCATTTCGGGTTATCCTGCAGAAATCTGGGTTAGTACGATATGTTGCAGTCCAACTCCGACCTGGCCCGGACCACTCGGCGCCGAGTTGCGGTCCGATTTATCATCTCGACACTAGAGTGGCCAAACTCTCCCGCCGCTCGACTCGGAACCACTCGAGTGCGGTCCTGACTCGAGCCAACCTGCCGATGTTCTTCGCCGCTACTATGCACGCAGTCTCAGTGTCAAGAAGGGGTTGCTTGATGATGTTCCTCGCAGAGTTGCGCACAGAAACAGCTCAGCCGCACGAATCGCCGTCTCCCGCCGCGAATACTCGCCCGGCGGCCATTTCGACTTACCCTGCAGGAAGCTGTGCTTGTGCGCTATGTTGCAGTCCAACTCGGACTTGGCTTGGCCCACTCGGCGCCGAGTTGCGGTCCGATTTATCATCTCGACACTAGAGTGGCCAAACTCTCCCGCCACTCGACTCGGAAGCACTCCGGCGCGGTCCTGCATTGCGCCAATCCGCCTCTGGTTACTTGCGCTGCAGTGGACGCAAATCCCACAGGCATGTCTCCAATGCATCTCGCAAAGACTGGGTCGACAGTAGGCTCTGCTCTCACGGTGGTGCGATTGAATCCTCCAAGGCAGTCGGACCCGGCGAACCATTCCGGAGATCCGACGAAGCGCACACATACCCCTTGAAAGCATGCTCCGAGTACGCTGCACAGCCTAAAGGGCCTCTACGGCAGCTCTATCACCTCCCCAAAGTGCCTGAGAAAGTCGACGGTCCGGCGGACGAGTGGCGACTCAGGCACTGACCCACGGAGTCTAGATCGGAAGACACTGTCGTTAGAGAGGGAGCAGGCATGGCGCTCGAAATGCTTGGTGCACCGTTCCAAGAAAAGGGTCTGGATGCAGAAGGAAGAGTGTTCTGTTCTCCCAGACCGCCAAACTTGCCGCGTCTCTTTGCCAAAGCGAGGTTTCCCCTCCCTTCTTGCACACACCTCGATCCACTCACCAGACGCGCTGCCCTTGTAGCAAGATGCTTGAAATAGCGGCGCGAGCAGGCGAAGTCGCTCAACAGCAACGCTGACTCCTCTCCGAATCCGATGCAGCTCGTCCTGCGCTCTAGAGCCACCGCAGCAAAGCTATGCCAGCCTAACGCACACGCTGTTGAATCGGAAAAAAACAAGAACCACTTTGAGAGACAGTTCCAACCTTGGCTAAAGCTACACGCGGAGTGCCCTCCGCTGCAAATCCTCCACCTCCTCCAAGAAATGTTCCAGCCCGCTGCGCTCTTCTTCCGCAGAGAACAAGCTGTAGGTCGCGTCCGACGACGTTTCTTGGACCTGCGCCCAGGCGCTCGCTGCCGGGTCGAGCGTAGCGAGCACTTCGGAGGCACCCGCAGCCGCCGAAGCCTCACTCGCGGCTGACGACGGATTGCGGCTGTCAACACCGAACCAGAGATTCTGCTCCTCGTCGTGCGGTCCAGTGGATCCGACGGACGAGGCGCGCGGGGACATGCTGGACTGATCGGTAAAGGCTAGGTCGGGGGCGAAAGCAGGCGGGTTGGGAAGCACGAATGTGTCAGCCACGAGGCGGGCTACTACGTCGTCGACGGACGCGACAGAAGACGAGCTTGACGAGCTTCTCGTCGGTGTGGGGAACGACGAGAGAGCCTCCTCCATAGACGCGTCCATTGGCGTTTCGCCTCCGACGAGCCACCACCAGTCGCCTTCTCCGGCCGTGACACTATTGCGCCCGGTCCAGCTGCGGACTTTGCGAGCCCACGGCGGAACCGTCTCGTCCGCATCTACGTCGGAGAGCGGCTCGGTGCCGCGGACGACGTGCTCGACGCGGGAGCGAGTGACCAGCCCGTCGTGGAACGCGATCTTCCAAACCCGACGTCCGACGTGCTCAAAGTCGACCCCGTCTGCCATCGAGATAGTGTCGACGAGAGTCGTGGCTTCGATCTCGGGATCGAGTAGACCGGCTGCCGACAGACGGTTGATGATGGCCTGCAGGCGATGAGCGTGCGTCGAGTAGGCGTGGGTGATCATCTCGAAAGAAGCGAGAAGGTGCGGAGAGAGGATTCGCTGCATGGCGGGATCGGCTCGAGACACGCCGCAACCGACGCTGTCATTGGCGGCGGCGGCGATTGGCAAGTCAAAGTCCGGGTCGATCGCGAGGACGAGCGTGACCGGCTGAGCGAGGAGAGACTCCTCCGCAGTCGACGAGGACGCAGCGAGCGGGCTGGCGTCGGGGGCCGCAACGGAGCGCGGCGAAGGGACACCGAAGAAGCGCTCAAAGTCGGCGCGCTTCTCGGCCGCGAGGAGGCGCGAGTCGATCGCCTTGCCCTTGCCCTTGAGGGCAGCGCGGTCCTTCTTGGCGACGTCACGCTTGACGCGCTTCCATTTGCGTTGGTCGAGACCTTCGTCTGCGAGTGCGCGGAGGGCGAGAGGGGCATTGGCGACGACGTTGTCAAAGACGGCGTAGCCGGACGAGGAGAATTGACGAGCTGATCCGAGCCCGACGTGGCTCGGTCCGCTTACCGCGACCGGTCGCGGGCGGGGACCAAAGTGAGTACGCGGAGCGCGACGCGCCGACGCCTGCGCAAACGTCGAGAACGGCGAAGTGGCGGAAGGTCGAGGCGCCGTTCGCGATCCCGAATAGGGGCCGGGGTGGACTTTGACGCCCGAGCGGATGGCACGGAAGGTACCGGCGTAAATGGCCTCGACGGCGGCTCGCCACGCTGCCGGCGGTGCGGTGGATGAGGCGTACCGGGCTGCGCCGGGAGCGAGATGTGGCGCAGCTGGTGGATGGACTTTGACGGCGGGGCGGACTAGCTTTGAAGCTCCGCCACGGGAGGTGGTCGCGGCAGTACGACTGATCACCTGCACGCAAAGACGAATGGCGCTTGTTAGTCAGGTGTGTACCGAGTGGCGGAGAGTGTGGCGGATGAGCGGCGGAGGAAGCGACGCGCTGCTCACCTCCCGTAAGGAAGCGACCAAGCCGGGAGCCGGACGCATGTTGTTCGAATGTGGGCTATGTCGTGTTTACTCTCAAGATTCGTTGGTGAGTAGCGAGGAGAGAGAGCCTCAGTCTCGCCAGCACCGCCACTCGACTTGGCTGCCGAAGTCGACGCGCGTCTTCTCGGCCGAATGAAGGGCTCCCGGTGTGGCTGCAAGCTCGGACGCGATAAGGGGGTATATTGGGGTTCATTGCAGTCACTGCTCAAACCGCCATGTAACATCCCGACAACAGACTCGCTGATGCAACGGCCATCCAGGGAAGGTAAGGCCCGACCGCCCAAATCTAAAGGAGAGAAACCTGCATTCTGCTGACGCCGGACGACTACTTCTCCGGCCGGGAGTTGACAGGCGCGTAGGCTGACGTATTCGGCGCTTGCGTCGGCAGCTCGTTCGAGTTGGACGAATGGGCAGCTGGAGGCGCGGCCGGTCGTGCTGCGCCCTGCTCTTGCGACTTGGTGTCTGTTTCCAACAGGCGAGATCAACGCGGGTCAGCGCTTGAGCGACATGCATCCGAGCAGGAGATGGGAACGCATTCTCTGCACGCACAGACGTAGTAGACCGAGCCGGTGAGGATGAAGACGATCCCGAAACCACGGCCACTGCACGGTCAGAAACATCGTCAGGTCACGCTCCCCGGTCCGCTCGTTCACAGGGTGACTCACGCTCCGACGTGCTCGCCAAAGAACCAGATGCCGAGGAACGTCTGCAAGACGCCACGGACGGCTGCCGAGCGTTCTTGTTCGAGGTAAGCAGCCGACCTTGTTTTGAAGTGGCTCGACGTGTCACGCACCTGCCGAGATCATATGCGAGATGGGCGAGGTGACCTTGATGGAAAGGAACCCGGCAATGCAGATCAAGAACCCAAAGACACCCTGTTTGTGGCGAAATCGAGAGTCAGTCAGTACCTCCCAAGGACAATTCGTAGGACGCAAAGAGGCAGAGAACAAACCGACTCACGGTAACGAGCGCGCCGGTCAAGAAGGTGCTAACCGCCTCGGCGCCTTCGCCACCTTCCGAGAACATCTCAATGACGGTAAAGACCTCGCCGCTGACGAAGACGAACGGCAAGATGACGAACGCCGAGAGCAAGTTCGAAAAGTAGGCGAGGTCGAGGGTGCCGCTGACGACGCTCAAACTACGCTTGACGACGATGGCGTGCACGGCAGTCGTTACGGATGAAGCCACGCCGAGCGCGGTGCCGAGTGCGGTCGTGTGGATCTCGCCCGAAACGCCGAGGACGAAACCGATGCAGACGATGAAGACGGCGATCAGGGTCGCTCGCGACGAGCGTGCGCCAAGGAGCCACCACGAGAAGAAGACGGTGAACGGCAGGACGAGGCCGCGGGCGATTTGCTGCATGGTTCGGAATGCGTGATCAGTATCCCGAGATACATATTCAGGCCAGACGCAAACATCTCCGCGTATTTGGACGCACGTAGAACGAAGCGTCGACGTATTCTGCGCCGCATGTGAGGATCCGGAGTCAGCGATAGTACTGGCCAATTCGTACCAAGGGGGCGAGAAATACTGACGGAGGCAGTACGTGTTGAAGGCAAGCCCGAGCACGTTGCAGGCAATGAGAGGCGCGAGTCCCTTGCAGGTCGTCACGTCCACCCGCGGCAGCTTCATGTACCCTGTGAGGGGCGCAGCCGGCAGATTTAACAAAACGCAAGCCTCCTCAGCAATGCAAAAAGGGGCCAAAAACCAACCAAAGAGGGCGCAGAGTTGGAGCAGAAGGACGGCAATAACGAGCTGGCAAAACAGGAAGAACAGCGGGACCTGCAGAAGAGCGCTTGTCAGTGAATGCGAGGGAGAGAGATTCGCAGCGAAGCCAGCGTACCTTGACCGCGTTGAGAACCCACTGTACGCGGGATTCCGAAGCGTGTCAGTAGACCCAAG